GTCAAAGCTGCGAATATTTTACTTGATGAAAGTTATGAAGCTGTGGTTGGGGATTTTGGTCTTGCCAAGCTGTTAGATCGGAGGGAATCACATGTCACTACTGCAGTGCGGGGCACTGTAGGACACATAGCCCCGGAGTATCTCTCAACTGGACAGTCTTCTGAAAAAACTGATGTTTTTGGATTCGGCATACTGCTTCTGGAACTCGTAACTGGGCAAAAGGCATTGGATGCTGGAAATGGTCAAGTTCAGAAGGGAATGATTCTTGATTTGGTAAGTAATAATTTCTCATGTTTTTTTCGTGTTGTTTATCTCATGTAAAATTGTCTGTCTCATTCTTCGTGGGGTTGGTTCTCGGTATATAATTCATCCTTATGAAACTTCTAAGCCACATAAAATTGGATTTATTCTTTCAGATTACCTATTTTTGCACTGTTCTATTGTTTTCGTGTATTTTCAAACATTTCACAGATTGTTGAATTTTGCAGGTTAGAACCCTACATGAGGAGAAAAGGCTCGAAGTGCTAGTAGACAGAGATCTTAAAGGATGTTTCGATGCAATCGAACTGGAACAATGTGTCGAGTTAGCTCTTCAGTGCACTCAATCAAGCCCCATCCTCCGACCAAAGATGTCAGACGTCTTGAAGATTTTGGAAGGCCTTGTTGGGCAATCAGGACATACAGAGGGATCACAAGGCGGAACCAACCTCTTTGAGGCCAGGGCTCATGATTTCTCCAGGACTTGTAGTGATGTGCATCAAGAGTCGTCGTTCATCATTGAAGCCATGGAACTTTCAGGACCTCGGTGACAAGAAAATATCGAGTTGTAGAATTAAAGTGAAACTGTAAATGCAGACGTGGATTAGGTCAGGTCGCCAGGGCCGTTTTTCCACCCTCTCGCAGCTAAGTTCAAAAGGAAAGTACAACTGTAAATGAATCTTACATTTTGTTGTTGGGATAGAGTTGCTAATTTCCCTTAAGAGTTCTTTCCTAATCAAACTAACATGATTACTTACAAATGAGAACTGGAATTAATCTGATTTTTCTGCGTTTATTAAAACATCGGTACTAGAATCATTTCAATTCTTAACTTTTCATGTGATTATTATTAACAGGTATAGAACGGGAAAACGTGCGGATTCCACCTTAGAACTCCATAATCCAATGCCTGAAATTTTAGGAATCGGATCAAGTAGAGAAGACTAGTTCTATTCTTTCTTTCCGTTTCGTGATTAAAATGGTGGCACAAACAGATGGTAGACAGCACATTCAAGTGAGAAAAAACAACCCAGTTACCAATGATTGAGACCTTTTTTGGACAAGAATCTTAATGCACTTTTGTCAGTTGCAACCACATAAGATTGGTTCTGGATACTGGTTGGCAAATCACTATCACCACATGCTAATAGCCTAATGCCTCGCTTTCTTTATTTTATTTTATTTTTTTAAGGAACAACTGATGGCAAGCCACGGTTATCCATTCTTTTCAGGGGTCGGGAAAACTCACATTTCAGCCTTCATCTGGCCAAATATGGCTTCCATGCCAGCAATGGGTTTCGAATCCGAAACCTCCAGATTTTGGTTTTAAAGAAACATCGTAATCTACTTTTTACCACTTGATCACCAGCTCGTGATTCCTTGTTCTCTTTCTCAAGTTCATAATCTTTTTCTTAATTAGGGTATACATGTGTCCGATTTACACAGGTCCCATAATCCACCAGTATAATTTTCATGGCCTAGGACCTAGGTGAACGTATACCCGGTGTACCATTATCTTCCACGGTATATACATGAATTTGCATGGATTTGAACTGTACCTACACTCACTAGCCGCTCATGAGTATTCTAAACTCATAAGGCACGGTCACGCGGGCAAATTAACACATATAACAACGTGTTATTGTTTCGTTAGTGTTTCGGACATACATAAGTTAAAATCAAATAGTTGAGATAGAGAAAGATTTACATGAAATGCATTTATAGTTAAGTGATGTCTTTTGTTTAATAATGCATTGTCATGTACAAATTTTTTTTACAAGACAATGTATTATTGAATTAAAACGTCACTTGACGATGAATTGATTTCATGTAAGGCGTGAGATAATATATTTTTGGTACATACAAAGTTGATTGAGTTATCTCTGCAATTATTGAAGGGGCCTTGTGTATCTTAATCATAAAATGTCCCTTTAGGAACTATTAATATTATTTCATACATTTTCTTTCTTCAAATGAGAATATATAAAATATTATGAGGTAAAATTGTTTGTTTAAACGATTAGAATCTACGTATGCACTTAGACTAAAAACAAAGAAAAAAGACCAAAATTTCAAATCCACTACATTTCTTTTCTTTCAAATTCCTCCATCCAAATGGGTTTCTTTATTGCTATGAGGACAAAAGATTATAATTATATTTTATTTTATTTATATTTTTAAAGAATATATTTATATTGATGCTTATTGTTTTGCGTATAAGTACAACAAAGGTCTGATTAATTCTAAGTTAAACAAATGATAATGCTAATTGTTGTCAATTAGTTAGGTAACTTGCACCATCAAGAAAATAACTAATCCTACTTAACTTGTTTCCTAGAAGAGAAATGCTAATGAGACTCTTTGGAAAGTGATACTCTCTATAGACTTTGCCGTATCATGTTTTTAGCACAATGTTTCATAATATTTGCACATAAATTAGCGTAAAACTATGAGATGACAGAGAGATTCACTTTGAAAGAGTCTCCTTAACACTTCCCTTCCTACAAATCAACTCCCCTAATTTCCCATCACACTACCTCGCTACCTTGTATTAAAGTATTTTATGTTTTGACCTCCTTGAGTTAAGGAATTTTCATATATAATTAGAGACTGATATCAAGAATAAGAGAAGTTGTTTGCCGTCCAAGAAAAGTAAGCTCATCCAATTGGTTAATCGATATTCAACAAATTATAACTTTGGGTCGCATTTGAGGTTTTGTTTATCGTGTAATTTCTGTTTGCCTTGAAATGTGCTCTAATATTATTTACGATTCAATCTTAAGCATTGTTTCCAACCAGGCTAAGTCTTACATCCACTATTGTAATTCTTGAGTAAATCAACAAAACTTTCTTCATATTCAAAGGAAAAATCACATACAATATTCATGAACTTATATTTCGTGATAAATACACCATAGCTTATTAGTTTTATATGCATTATTGTAAAGGAAAACTAATGAAAAGAGTTTGCAAATATTGAATTTTATTGATAAGGACAAAATAAAGGTTAAAGTAAATAATACCAGAATTGACTTTTTAATGTAAAAATTTGATTTTTCATTAAAATAAACAGTACTGGAAACTTTTCATTAAAGTTCCCTTGTAACCCTAGTAATATAATTTGAGTTTGAGCCAATGACAAATTAAGCTTTGACAAACAAAAATGACAAATTTAAGAATCCAACTCCTAATATCTTATATTTTTAAATAGAGAAATAAAGCCTTCTATCACTGAAGATAGAAGCTTTGGAGCATCAACATATTTTTGTCAATAGGGTAGGGTTGGTGTAAAGAAAGTTGAGGTTCTACTATAAAACTAATTATTAATATGGGGAATAGCTCAACCTTTTATAAGTCCATGCAAGGTTCCTCTTCCCATTAATAAGGGATTCATTTTCAATATAGTGCACCATTTTTAGTATTTTTATTCTAAATTTAACCAGGCATGACGAATCGTGAATCTTGTTCTTAACTTGTAAACCAAAAAAAGAACAAAGGGAAAATTTACTTAGATTCAATCCGTGTTTAAAATATCGATATATGTGAAAATATCGATATGCAAAATTTATGGAAATATCGATGGATGTATGTATTGATATCGATATCAGTTCCCTTCGACATAAAATTACAAAAATTTGCAATGAGGTGGCTATATCAACTCATTCAGATTTAGTCGAAATTAGAGAAAAAAAAATTTCAAAAAAAAGTTCCAAAGTTCGAAATCTGCAATGGGGTTTCGACTAGATTTCTGTAGCAAATCGGTAAATATCGTCGATATTATTCATTGATTTTCTTATACCACACTAATAAAAGGTGAAGTTTACATTTCACCCGTATTTCTATAATGATCCTTAATTTTTTTGGATATTTCAACGAAAATATCAACAATTTCATGGATAATTTAAATACTGGATCCAAGTTCATCAAGAAGTAAGACCTCACTAAAGGATTCGAGAGTTATACACATCTTATTGTCAATCTAGCATCACTCTAACTACTATACACAGCGACTTATTGTCGGTATCCCAATGAAAAAGGAAAAATTGACCTAGATGATCCAAAAGAAATTTTCCTCAAAAATAGTAGCCAAGAGGCATTGAGACCTGACTACAGAATTCTACATCAAGAGTTATACACGTCTCATTGTCAGGAGTACTTGGCCTTGCCAGTGGGAAGGGACATCACATCTAACCAAACATTGAAAGTAAATCCGCAAACAATTGAATCTCCCTGAAGACTTCCTTCCCACCTTGTACACTCCTTCGCAAACAATTGAATCTCCCTGAAGACTTCCTTCCCACCTTGTACACTCCTCCGGTTCCTCAATTCGTGGCAAAAATAGTCCGACACAACACAAAACGCCACCACACAACAGTTTACCCATCCAAAACGCAACTCCAAGCAATTTCTGCCAAATCGAATTCCTGTCCATTTGGTCTTGAAAGCTTCTGGGCAATAATCAGTTTTTGGTCTCGTTGTTTTGGCATGTTGAGAGTTGTTTTGAAGATCTTGACAAGGGAACTTAGGCATGTCTACAGAAAAAAGAATTTGTAGCAGATAGTTTAGCGACTTACTAGCGATCTATAAACTTATAGTCATGATTTAGATTTGGGCAATTTTACCTTAATCCTATGTGTTCAGTTAATTTTATTCATGAGGATCGACTTGAGATATCTCGATCTAGATTTATTACTGAATAGTTCTATTTGAAGTTTTTGCATTTAGCCTCGTTTTAAAAAGAAAAAAAATTCAAATTCCTATCCAAATAAGAATACATTAAAGAGAATTTTAACAAAACATTCTCATTATTGTTCATTTTTAATTAAAAAAAATTCTTTTTCCCAACATTAAATTCCCACAACTAGCAAATTAAAAAAAAAATCTTTTTGATTAATTTTTTGCACATTCACCTCCAACAAAAAAAGAAATAAATCTCTGCACTTTCCAACCAATCCAAATTCAAGGGTTATTATTTGTTCATTCCCTCAACCTGTCTATGTTCTTTTATCCATTTTATATCTTTTGTTTACATTCTTCACCAACCTCTTACTCTTTCCTGTGTGCCTACTATATAATTTTATCGAAACCCAATTCCTAGAATTTGAAATCAAACACTTGGTGGAGTTGAGATCGTATAAAATTAAAATCTCAGATCTGAAAGTTCCCATATTTTAGTTTCTGAGGATTAAAGTTCTGTTTTTTGCAGCTACTTTTCTGGGATTGAGCAGGCGTGTACGGATAAAGGTTGGATTTTTCCCCGTTGGGATTTTCTAGTTGTTTTAGTTTATTCATCGATTATTTTATGGTTGGAGATTATATATACACACGCATGGAGTGCTTTTTTATCACATTGCTTATGGTTTAGCGAGATAAGAATGTTATGTGAACGTTGGTTGTTCAATTGGATTTGTGTGTGAACTCTTGGAGTTAGTGTTTTTTCTGTGAAGTTTTAGGATTGGGTGTTGTTTTGCTGGGCGTGTGAGAAAGTTGGTGTCTTTGGAGGTTAGAGAGAGCTTTTGTTTAGCAATGGATGCCGGGGCATGTGATTTGCAGGATAGGAGTGAGGTGTTGGGTGGAGTTGATCAAAAGGGGAGCGAAAAGTCGAAAGATTCTGTTGTTTGGTCGGTTGTTGAGACTGTCATTGTGATTGAATCCGAAGAGGATGTTCGTGTCAACGGGAAAAATGAAGGTTTGGACACATTGGGGAGTGAGCTGGGGTCTGATAAAGCAGTGGTAGAAGGGCTTGAGAAGCCGAATGATAAGGAGGCGTGCGGACAGCGTGGTAGTGATGAGGTACCTATACAAGTTGAGCAAGGAGATGAGGTACCTAGTCCAGTTGAGCAAGGAGCTAATAAGAATTCAAACAATTTGGTTGATGGGAATGTGTCCGAGACTGTTGTTGTCATTAATTCGGGTGAGTCTGCGAGCGTAGTTGGAGATAATATAAGATTGGTTGCGAAAGTTGAGGAATTGGAGTCGAGTAAGGTATTAGCAGAAGATTCAAAGAAGAAGGTGCCTCAAGCAGCAAAGGATTCATGTGTGATTGATATGAAGTGTGGGAGTGGTAAAGGCTTTAGTGATAGATGGGATGGGGAAAGGGTTTGCAGGATTTGCCATTTAGGTTCTGATATCTCACCGGAGAGAAAAATGGAAACTGCTAATAGTTCTATCACAGCGGATTTAATTAATCTCGGTTGTGGGTGTAAAGATGAGCTTGGCGTTGCTCATGGTCATTGTGCCGAAGCATGGTTTAGGCTAAGAGGAAACAGGTAACTCTTTCCTCGTTTCCTTTTAACAATACATGTCTTTTGACAATATGCTTTAAGCTTCATGCACTTTGTTCTCGGCAGCACTGCCTGTAGTTTCTATGGTTTTCTTATTTTGTATCTCGTGTTTGATGTTTCTGAGCTCATAATGTTAGGTATGTGATCTTAATTTTTATTTATGCCCGTTAAAATCTGGACTTCAGACGAAGGTTCCCGATAAACAAGTTTTCATCAACTTGTTACTAAATGTTCAACTTAGTTGCTTGCTGGAAGAACGATGGTTTCTTTCCTTTTCGGAATGTGGAAACAAACTGAACCTCCATTAAGTGTATGAGTGAAAACTTATCAGATTTCATTTTGTACAATAGATTGCACTACCGCTTTTCCTTTCAATCCATTTTTGTTTTCCAACTCGGCGTTTTAAGTTAGCAAATCTCATGTCAGTGTGGAAGTGTTGCGACTCTGAAATGTTAGTTGTGTGAGAAAGTAAGTTTCACAAGTGACGATGTCTTCTGCTATTTTCTAATTGGTGGTCTAGAACTTAATTTGTAAAATGGTTCTTTTTCCGTTTGGAACCCCGGTTTATAGTTCAAGTCAATACACTATGGAATAGCGGTAAGGAAACTCGCGAGGTAGCAGAAGAGGGATAGAGATAGGGTCTTCATTTCCAACAACTAAGCAATCCTAGTTGATTTTAAACTGTTTTTGTTACAATTTATACAAAATCCCTTCTCATTTTATTCATGCAGGACATGTGAAATATGTGGTGAGACTGCGCAAAATATTACCGGTCATGGGGATAACGGATTTATGGAGGAGTGGCATGAAGCAACGCTTGCTGATATCGGTAATAATTCACTGGAGAGGAATGTATCATGTTGGCGGCAACAGCCATTTTGCAACTTCTTAATGGCGTGTCTGGTAATAGCTTTTGTACTTCCATGGTTTTTTCGTGTGAATATGTTCTAGCAAAGGGATGTGAATGAAATCTCAAGGTTCCTCTGCCGCATTATGTTTCAAGGCTGTATGTGTATCGTGCATCGTGTGGAGTATTGTGACATGTTGCTTTTAATCGGATTGTTTCCGGTCTTCCATTCACTTGTAAAACAAACTCTTGTGGTTTCTGCGTACACGCCCTGAAGACTGGAGGTCTCACGCTACGAGAGTTGCCGTCTTGGCAACTAGTGGAGTGCAGTTATTTGCTGCTTTCTTGCAGTATGACCGGTGATGTTCTTAGATTGTTTTTGTGGGATTTGGCGTAGATTTTCGCAGCTGTAGCTCGAATATGAAAACGAAAAGCTAGGACGTGAAATACAAAGGGAAAAAATTGTCGTTCTTTGTTTGTTGTAGAATCGATTTGTTAAAGTGATTGAATTGAATAGACATGTTTCCATGAATTCTGCACTTTCAGTTCAAATGGTAGGTTGCAGAGACTTATGATGAATCATGACTTTTGTGTGTAACTTTGAAAGAACAAGCATACCGGGAGAGAAAGCGACCGTTTTGTTTCTGTTTTCCAGTATCTTTGCCTCCACGCCACGCTACTTTCAGCACAAAAATCATGAACTCGAGCCTGTATTTTTTACAGTTTTACTTCAAGAAACACGCAATCATGGGTTCGAATCATTGACTAGGCGAGTTTTTTTATCTATTTGCTATAGGGGCAGTTTTCACTTAAAAATGAGACGTTGAATTTCGTAAATAACGAATTTGATATCAATTTATTTTACCGTCCTAAATATATCGTTATAAAAAGGAAGTGATTTTCACACTCTTTTTAGAATGTCAAAAGTGCCAAGTAGATATTCAACAGGAACAAAAAGCAACAAAACTTTCTCCAACCGATGCTTCATATCTGACATGGAATGGAATAATGTCTAGGCCTTTGCTGCCGAATTTGACGTAGCTGCCAATTTTTTTTTTGATTTTTTTAATAGATGGGCTCTCATTCCAATTGGACGCCTTCTTTAGAGATGCTTAGACACACATGAGAAGTTAACGATGGTGTGTGAAAAATTATTTTACTAATAAAAACGTAAACATTTATTGCTGGGCCAGAAAAAATCCACGAGCCCAACCAAAGTGTTGGGTTAGATTATTCACTTCCGACCCGAAATACTGTCGGGTTGAAGTCAAATTAGGGTTCCGACCCAGCCCAAATGAGAAATAAAAACCCTAGCTCCCTCATATCGCCTCCTATTCGTACTCCATCTTGTCCAACTTCGGCTGCTGCTCCGCCTTCTCTGCAACACTCCTCATTCCACAATGGTCTCTTTCTCCTCACTCTCCCTCTCTCTCTCTCTCTCTCTCTCTCTCTAACTCTCTCTCTCTCATGGTAGTATGAGTTTCTGATGAATTTGTTGTTTTTGTATATTGAATTATCAGGCGTCGGAGAGCAAGCTGGCGAATCCCATGAGGGAAATCAAGGTTCAGAAGCTCGTCCTCAACATCTCCGTCGGAGAAAGCGGCGATCGTCTCACCAGAGCCGCCAAGGTTTATCCTTTTTACTTACTTCTCAACCTCCCCCTAACCACCCACTCAAAAATAAATCAACAATCGTATACTGATATTTCATTTCCTATTTTGCCCCTTGCCCTAGGTCTTGGAGCAGCTCAGTGGCCAGACCCCTGTCTTCTCCAAAGGTGAGATTTGATTTGATCAGATTAGATTATCTCTGATATTTTTTGTGTGGTTATTTTTGAATTATTTGTTCGTGTATTTATTTGGGAGTTGTGATTCTGTGCAGCTCGGTACACTGTGAGGTCCTTCGGGATCAGGCGTAACGAGAAGATTGCCTGCTACGTGACTGTCCGCGGCGATAAGGCAATGCAGCTTTTGGAGAGTGGACTGAAGGTCAAGGAATACGAGCTGTTGCGCAGGAACTTCAGCGACACCGGATGCTTTGGTTTCGGTATTCAGGAACATATCGATCTCGGAATCAAGTTAGTGCTTCTAAAATTTTCATCTTGCCATATGCCCTCGTTAAAATTGTCTTTGCAGAATGATTGTGTTTGATGATTTTGTGGAATGACAAGTAGTACGCTGGTTGGTTTTGTGTTCGCGCTTTAGATTATAATTTATGAGATTGAGAAAAGTTATTTAGCTTTTGTACGGGATTTGGATATGATCATAAACTTTTGAATTCTTAAAATAAGTTCCAACTACGTATTCGATTACAACTAGGCTGCCGCTATTCAGTTTACATTGCAGAATGAATGGTCTGGAAAATTTGTGCAGCCTTGCGTATCAATCGAGCTATATCCTTGTGAACGGAAAATAGCATTTTCGCGAAACCTAGTGTTTGGTGTAATTTGGATTATCTCGGGTTTGCACGAGGCACTAGTTATCTCGCATCACTAAAATTATTTCAAGTTTGCGTGAGGCACTATATACCTCGTGTTGGGAATGATGTGCTTACCTTGCCCTACCTGTGGTTATCTCGGATTCCCTTTGAACATCTTTTTGTCCTAGTTATTTTTTCTCAATCATGTTTATATCTTTCTACGGTGTTAAATTTCTAGAAATTTAATACCGCTGACTTTGTGTTACAAACGATATTATTTTAGATACGAGTTGAATATAATGTGCAAACATAGGCGGTGTATGATTTCCTACCTCTAACCAGTTTGCTTTTCTTTCATCAGGTATGACCCTTCTACCGGTATCTATGGTATGGACTTCTTTGTCGTTCTAGAGCGCCCAGGGTACCGTGTGGGACGTCGCCGCAGATGCAAGTCGCGTGTTGGCATTCAGCACAGGGTTACCAAGGAGGACGCAATGAAGTGGTTCCAGGTCAAATATGAAGGAGTCATCCTCAACAAGTCCCAAAATATTACCGGCTAGACAGATCAACCACAATCTTGGATATTTTGTTTTAGGTTTGGCAAGTTGTTGCTACTTTGTGTCAATTTTTATGTATCAGGAGCTAGTATTTTTCTAAGACGTGCGAGTATTTTATATGTTAAGAGCTATCCGACGCTTTCTTGTTACAACTCGTTTTGCTTATATGGGAGCGTATTTTATTTCTTGTTACAGTCTTTACAACCGCTTTAGCTAAATTTGCGATTGCTATTTTGCTGTTTTCGGGTTTTCTGCATAAAACCCGAAGAGAAAAATGCGAAATTTGATTTCTATCATACACAATGCTCTGATACAAATGTTTCGGCTCTTTACGCTGCCTTATGACTTGAGCAGTTTCACAAGCTCCCTTTTTTTGAGTTTTGAGTAACCTCTCATTCCTCTCGACTTTGCGAGCTCTTTCAGCTCGGGGAGTTTCATTTCTTCCACTCTCACTAAATCTAATTCCTCTGCACCGGACCTTCCAGTCGCCGAAGGTGTTGCTCCGTTATCCAGCTCAAGAAACTGTGATCTCGGGGTCGATGGATGTGGAATCGGGGATCGTTTCACAAATTTTGATGGCGGCCGTGTCAACTTGAACTCTGCAACTGGGGGATTACTCTGCATTTGCTCCTCTCTCGTATCGATTCTCCTTGTGAAAACCTTCTTCCCGTCCTTCTCATCAGCTTTGCCTGCAGTAATTATAATTTGATTAAGAAATAGTACGTGGAAGATGATAAACCTAATCATCATAACTAGCAACTAATCACTTTAAATTGCTTCGACTCCTCTTTGTTGCAAGCAATCGATATTCTAAACTACTCTGATCTACGGGGATAGAAATCTAAACTCAGATGGAACGAGGTAGGCACACTGCAATCGACACCTAAACCTAACCACGAAAAATGAGCATGTCTAAGTTGCAAAAATTGTGCATGATGGAACCAACCAAGGCATTCATCTCATCGACATTACCTTTCGGATTCCTTAACCCATGAAGAGCGCGAAGAATCGAATCAGAATGCGGCCTATCTTCATAGTCATCGGCGCTAATCTTCTCGTCATCCACAGACCCTTCTTTTGAGATCGAAGTCTGAATCCGTCTGAATAGAGAAATGATCTCTTCCTGGTTTGCGTTCGATTTTCTGGATCCCCGTTTCTTGCTTCCGTCCTTGTTGGCTCTTTCTGATCGTCGCCGAGGAGGTTGGTCTCTTCCATTTCCTGAGATCCAACGCTGCAGGTGACTGTTAAGTGAAGCTCCTTGCGCTCAAAGAGTGAGGACACATCTGCAATCTCAGCCAAATTAACAAGCTGCATCATCAAATATCCGACCGTCTGTTATCAAAACAGGAATGATAATTCAATAGCTACTAAATATTTATTTTTTTCAATTTAGTCCTCGTACTCAAGTTTGAATCCCTTCGTCGGAGATCAGAGTAGTTTAAATTATTGTTTGAACCCATCTTCCCGTCTCCCGTAAATTAGAGCAGTTTAAAATATCGCTACGTCTGACTAAAAATAGTAAAACATTGTAGCAATTCCAGACAAGAAAATAGGCAAACCAAGCTAAGAGATCTGTTTTAAACAGTTCTGAGAAGAACCCAATTGCAAAATTTAAGGTGGAATTGCAGAAAAGTGAATACCTTTGAGAGAGAAAATGGGGTTTCCCAGCTTGGGCTGCTTGCTGAAAGAGAAGAAAGTAGGAAACCGAAGCACAGAATCGTATTGAAAACCACTCGCGCCCATATTTTCCCGGAAAATTTTGGGTTTCTGAATGCGGAAATGAGATTTTCCTGGAAAATTGTTGTTGAATATTCTGAGTATACAAACGGATTAGATTCTGACACTTCTTTCCCCTCGCTTAATATTTCACTACAAATTTTCTCGTCCACAACTTCTCGAGGGGTATGTAAACCACGCGCCAGTATTTATTTGTCTATTTTTTGCTAGTGTTGTAGTTTGGGCGGAAGAACACACGCACATTGGCGGCCGACGCATCGACACTATACGTTTGTACAGTAAGCGAAGTAAGCAAACGCATCGAAATTCAATTGTGACCATCACTCACACGCATCGTTCTTTGCTCAATTATCGCTTTTGGTATCGAAGTCATCTTTCTTTCACTTGCCACTTTCCGAAACAAACTGCTTCTAATATGATCGTTCCTATTATTATCCACCAGCCTCGGAAGGTAATTTTTGAATTATGACGTGTTATGCATGATTTATATATTTTAAATGTATATATATGTGTAAATTGACAAAAAAAAAGTTAAATATTTAAAGTAAATGAATAATCTTAGATCATGCTAGAAGAAACCCTCATAAACCAATTAAAGCAGTTGAATTCACATAATAAAATCGGTCTTTATAGAATTTAGATTAAGAATAAAGAAAATAATATTTAATAAAAAATTGATTGAATCACATTATTGTTAGCTCGTTGTGAGGTTAAGTTCACTCCTTCCTCCTTAGTATAGATAATATCGTTTGTTAAAAAAAAAAAAAAAACAATCATTTAATAACTAATTTAATCACATTATTATCTGCGTGCAAAAGATTTTTTTTATTTTATTTTTATAATCGGCATTACACGTCTCTTAAGAAGTTTTGAATGTGTTTAAAATAGAGAAAATAATATTTAATAAACAACTGATTGAATCACATTGTTGCTAGCCCATTGTGAGGTTAAACCCACCTCCCTCCCCCTTAGTATATATAATATCGTTAGTTAAAAAAAAAAAAACATTTGACAATTAATTTAATCACATTACACATCTCTTAAGATATTTTGAATGTGTTTAGAAATAGATAAATTGAATCAAATTATTGCTAGCCTATTGTGAGGTACTAATTAAATAAAAACAAACAAAAAAAACACCACAAAATAATTTAATTATTATTAAAAAAATACTATTACAATGACGAAAATACCCCTACCTTATTTGATGCAATATTTTGAAATGCTTTTGAAGTTTTTTTGTTTTGAGGGCATTTTTATCCAATTATTTTTGTTGGCTTGATGACCCCAAAAAACTATTCACATTTTCTTCTGTCTTTATATATAATAGATAATTTTCCACTTGGAGATCAATCATAACCAATCCACCATTGTCCTCAGAAACAGCTGTAAATATTTCTTTTTGTTCTTAGCATCATAAAAAGGAAATCCTCCGTTTTAATACCGTGATATTCTAAACAACTTTAATGTGGAATTCGTATTTTGGGTGTTAGGCGAGCTGAAATACTGTCTTGGCCAACTGACCGAACGAGCATATCTGGCATCAACATTATTTGAATTCCAAAAGAGGCATACAAGGATCATGACTTAAATCAACTAAGAAAATACCCAATTGTACCAAAACCAAAGTAAATTTAAGCCAATGCTTGTGGCAGAAGGAGGAAATAATACATAATTATATTATATATATTTGGAGAACACATGAAAAGAATAATAATACACCCAAGTGGCCACTTGCCAAAACCTATCAGAAAATAATGAAAAAACCCCACTGCTCTTTTCTCTCCACAGCAATCCATCAAAATTCATCTCTTAATAACCAATTAAGCCTAATCTAATCAACTTTAAGCAATGAAATTAAAGGAAATGTTTTCCGCACTCTTTTTTTTTCTCCTCGGGACTCTTACCATTATTTTTCCGGCCTTTGGATTGAATAAATCATAAAAAAAACCTATCGACAGAGACGAGGAGAAAAATGGTGTGCAAAATTACTTTCCCTAAAATTAATCAACAAAACAATGCAATTTCAAGCTTGATCAACTTTCAACGACAGCATTTCGAGAGAAGAACCAAGAAAATAATGAGGAAGACAATAGAAGAAAGCCCAATGGCCACACCAAGAACAACCTTATTCGGACCATGATGTCGATCCTGCTTCTCATCATCCTCGTCAGTGTCGTCGTAGTCCGAATCGCTGCTGTTGTCCGCCGACGAATCAGCTTTCGCCGGTGGCGGCGACATGGGCAGTCCATGTTTGTCGCAGGGAGAAATTCCCAGCTTCAGTTTCGACGATAGAACAGAGTGGTTGTAGCAGAGGTCGCTGTTCCTGCTAATCTTGAACACTTGCAATCTGCTAATGAACGATACATTGAACGGCACGACACCGTGAAATTTGTTGTTTGCGAGATTCAAGTGCTTCAAGCTCTTCATGTCGGAAAGGAATTTCGGGATTGTTCCGTTGAGCTGATTCGAGCTCAGATCGAGATGGACTAGGCCCGGGATTGCTGAAATCGACTCCGGGATGGCGCCGGATAAAGAATTTGAAGACAAAGACACGTTCTTTAATGAAATCAGGTCCCCGAACGAAGTGGGTATTGAGCCATTGATGGAATTGGAGGAAAGGTTTAAGGTTTCGAGGTTTTCCAGGAGTGTGAGGCCACTGGGTATCTTCCCCTGAAGCTTATTGCCGGAAAAATCTATGTGGGTAAGGTTTAAATTCATGTGTTTCGGAATGCTGCCAGTTAAATTGGCGTGGGAGATGGTGACTGACCTGAGCTTCTTCAAGCTTCCCAGGATGACGAAGGGTCCTGAGGCATTGACTTGAACATTGGAGACGGTGAGATCGGTGAGGTTTTGGAGGCGGGCGAGCCAGACGCCAGTGAGGCGGCGGAGGGAGTTGATGCAGGTGAAGGAGTGGAGGGAGGCAACGAGGTCGGCGGGGAAGCGGATTGGGGCAACGGGGCAGTTGAGGAACTGGAGGGACTGGAGGGTGGAGAGGGATTTGAGGGCGGTGAAGGAGAGGGCGACGTCGTCGGAGCAGTTGGCGAGGCGGAGGGAGAGGAGGTGGCGGAAGGGCTTGGAGGAGTCGCAGATGGTGGTGTTTGGGGGGAGGATGGATGGGTTTCTGCAGGGGTCTTTGGAGGTGGGAATGTTGAGGGACTGGAGGGCTCTGAGTTGCTTTGGGTCAAGTGTGCTTGAAGATGGTGAGGATGGTAAGGTTGGGGACCTTGGGGTGGTGGTAGAATTCGGTGGGGTGGGGGAGGAGGTGGGAGATGGGGTCGGGGGGAGTGGTGCTTTGGCTGAAGGTGAGGATGGTAAGGTTGGGGACTTTGGGGTGGTGGTAGAATTCGGTCGGGTGGGGGAGGAGGTGGGAGATGGGGTTGGGGGGAGTGGTGCTTTGGCTGAGAGGGCGGTGGCGGAGAGGAGGAGGAGGAGGAGGAGGTGGAGAAGCAGAGTGAGAGGCAGTGGTTGTGGTTCCATTTTTTTTTAGAGAGAGAGAGAGAGAGAGAGAGAGCTTTGGCCTTATGGGGAAGAGTGTGAGTGTGTATTTGTGTGAGGTGCTTGAGTATGTGTACAGTGACTGACCAGTGAGAGAGCTTGGGAACAATGAGATGAGATTTAGGATGCTGTGTTGTCTCTTAGAATTACTTTTATGCCCTTCAATTCTTGCAAAAATTGCACAACGGGACTTTTGTTTTCGTTGTCCAGCTGGTATCCCTCCTGCATTTACATGTTTAATTTCTAATATGCTTTAATTCACTTCATTTTCAAGATATGAGCATGAAGATTGAACTCACTATTCGCACGTCTGAGTTTACAATTCGTTTCATACTTGTTTTAAAACTAATATTCTGTGCTTGTTCACTATTTATATTTTTCCGCTACACTTCAAAACCGTGATAAATTCTTAGCTTATTATTTTCGAGCAATTATGATAGGCTAACAAATGTTATTTGAGTTTCATACTCATCTTATTAATGCTGGTTGGTACTCATTCATTGTTTATATTTTCTTACTACACTATAAACTAGAGGTGGAGTTACTAAGGATTAGAATGGTTTTGGGCCATTCTGCTTTTTATTTTATTTTATTTTATTTTTTCTTCTGCTACCATAACATATTGTTCTTGTTGCTTATCAGACGAACACTATCAAAATTCAAGTGCACCTCTTCTCAGTCCAAATTCTCTTTTCCTTTACAGGCCTCCTTTTTCACCCATCTCTCTTATTTCAGTGTAAATTTCCCTTCCCCTCATTTTGCTATTAACTTTTCTTTGTATTTTCTTTAGTCCTTTTGTCATATTTTTAAATTTTCTTGCTTAACTATTTACTTCATATTCAAGCGTTTGAGTTTCTAGAATGTTTTTAGTTCACTGAATAGAATTTGATGGGTCTTTCAATGTTTGTGCAATTTACTACTAAATTTTCATGTTGTGAGGCTCCTCCTCATATAAAATTCTTGAATTTAAAATTTTTCACTTACAAGTAGAGAATATTATTTACTAAATAGTAGTTCTAAGTGATAACTTTGAGCGATCAACATAATAGTTATTTTTTTTTTTTTTTCCAGGGAGTAAAGTAATTAGTTAATTTGAAGTTTAATGATGATTTGCAGTTGATAAACATAAAGATTTGTCATGATGATTTTTACCATCCTTCTTCGTTCCTTTAATTTATCAAAAAAGTGTTGAATTAATCAAGTTGGAGAAATTAAACCAGCAGCAATTATAACACCATTTAGGCAAACAAAATAATAATCTACCAACTTTTTCACCTTTGTCTTTTTGCAGCATTAATTATGGAAAATAAAAGAGTGGTTGCCTGTATGAAAAGGCTGGCCTGGTTGAGTGTGTAAATAACGGATAAAACCAGGGGCATTCTTATGTGGCCACACGTGTACATTCTTTGAACATATGTGCTGCTGTTAAATACGGAAAGTATCATCTCCGAATTCCTTTCCGGACCGTTGAAATTGAATTTGATCCAAATGTTACAGTTATTATCACTTTTAAAGGGATCTCTGTTTGTAACTGTTAAATCAAATTTTAACAGTTCAGATCCTAAACTAGGTGGATTATGTGGAAAGGGATTAGGAGAAGATCCTTTTCCATTAAATACAAGAACATGGGTCAAGGACTCAGATTTGGATCACATCCGAATTTAAATTGTGGGAATTCTAAAGTTCCTCATATTCTGGTTATCCATCGTATATTATGCGGTCAGAATTATTTAAAATTAAACATAAATAATACTTAATGAAAACTGATCACATTATATACGATGAACTGTTAGAATATGAAAATTCTTAAGATCATGACAAAGAAAATCTAAGAAACATTCTCATCAGAAGGACTCCAAGGCAGATTTCAGCTTTCCAGCTTTCAACAGGTTAATTAATGGAGTAATTAATTAAATAATAAGTAAATGGCTTATTAATCCGACAAATTTCTTTTAAATATTTAGCCTTCCGTTAAAGGCAAAGGCCAAAAGCCCAAGGGGATTTATAATATAAAATCTGAAAATCCAATATGTTTTAGTTAGAGTTGAGATATTCTCCGAAATTTTGTGCCTAAAACAACCTATTACACTCCGGCTTTTTTGCCTTACGGTATACTCTTTTTAAAGGAGAGAATGCGACATAGAGGTAGAAAGGCTTGAGGAATTTAGTTGTGAAACAACGGTAAGATTTCTGGTTCTGAGACCATCCGAGGGAGAGTGACCATTCGATCGGGAGTGGGGGCCGTATTCTGATGCTCATATTTCTGCTTTTCCATCAAGACAAGGTTACTAATAAGAAAATATGTGTTAGCTAGCGTACGAGAAAAGTCTTGTTTAGGGAAAATGTTTCGGTACAATCACAGATTACATCATTCATTCGACCTTTCACATAAAACAATGTTATTTTATGTTTTGTTCGGCACAACTTCACACTAGTCTCAAACTCCTAGATCTTTTGAGTCTGCTGCCCTATACAGTTGATACCACCGAGTCCATGCCATTGTGAGTGTAACTCCGTGGGGCAACTGTATCCATGACCTATTCATATTGATGGAGGAAAGCTTCGATACAAATGCTTAACTATGACAGCTCTCATATTGAATCTGACAAAAATATAAAATATCCCATATTTTACTAAAATTGTCTTACAAATCATGTGTTAAGGATCCCGTACACAAGTTTTTCTTCCTAACGTTAACGAATTTAGAACAAAAAAAGGCAAAAATACATCACTAAGTGATGATGAGACATGATCCAAATGCAATTGGAAGGGACAATTACAACATCGTCTTACACTGATATTGTAGGACAGCAATGCTTAAATCTTTACACACTGATCGTCAAAATCCGAAAGAACAAGGAAAAAAAAAAATCATTACAAATCTTTCTAAACTACCAAGAACTCACTCTGATTCCCAGAAATCGAGTTTTTCCTCGCATTCAAACTATAACGAATTCAAAATCGTGGAAAACTTTCGCGTAATGTCTCAGCAGTCTATGGAAATGCAGCTTTCAGCAAGCGTTGAGCTGTCCACTTTGCTCACAAAGGGATTTATCTTCACCCAAACAAGAGAGAAGACAGAGGCCAAGAGCACTGACCACAAAACAACGATGGTTGGAGTCCGGTTTTGGCGTCCCATGAGGCCTTTGAGGAAGGGATAGAGATGAAGAATCACCCAGAAGGCGAAGAAAACCTTCCCGAAAAGTGGCCCCCAAGCTTCGTATCCCTTGTTAAGGGCGTCCGAAAATCCAGCTACAACACCAACCATGTTTATAATGAGGAGTGTAGTGGGGGGAATCAAAAGTGTGGTCCATTTGATCAGATAGAGCTCTCCGAATTCTGTGTCCTCGGCTGATTTGGTTGTGACGGTGAAGTTGGTGTCAATTCCGGCCAACATCTTTAAGAAACCTTGGAAGACGGCGAAGAGATGGGCTGAAACACCCCCGATCACCCAGAACTGCTCGTTACGCCATAAGTCCTCAATGCGGACTCCACTCCACCGCAACTCAAGCACACTTGTAGCAATGATGGAGATGAAGAGGCCAAGAAACAGGGCACTTGCCAGGTTTGTAAGCTGAATCAAAGATCAAAAGAATTATTCTTAACTTGATTAATGCAGTGGCCAAGTTTCTTGAATATCAAGAAACACATTCAACGATTCTAAAGTTTAACATTATCGATGTGCTAGCCTTTCTGCACGTGCGAGAGGCGTTTTATTATGTCTGTCTCATAAGACAATGAAGGTAGAAAAAACTTACCGTTGGGATGATGAATTTTCCTGTGAGAAGGCATATTGCAGGGAGTGTACAGTAAGCAACGAGAGGGAGGGATGTGAAGGGGTAAACAATAGTGTTGATATATGCCATTCTCTGAAGCAGTTTGAGGCGGCCTCCTGCAAACCCGTACCAGAGAGGACAATGTCTACTGAGGAAAATTTCCACTGAACCAAGTGCCCACCGAAGGACTTGGTGCAGTCGATCAGAAAGGTTAATGGGAGCTGACCCTTTGAATGCAGGCCTCAAGGGCATGCAGTAAATTGACCTCCATCCACGGCAATGCATCTTGAAACCGGTTAAGATATCCTCGTGATTGATCCATATATCCAACCAATCTGTGGAAAAAGAGAATATAAACCATTTGGATAGAAGAACACGGTGACTATTAATGGAAGCCATAATTCGTTTACAAGATTCTAAAACTTCAAGATTCCAATCAAATACTTCTACAAAAATTAGCGTAGAATCCTACTTCTTTTCCCCACGCGGTCTTCTCTTCATAACCGCAGCTAATGACATGAATTGCCTCCTTGATCAACGTTGATGGGTTGGAAGATTCGGCCACTCCTCCGTTCTCCATTAGTGTAGACTCTATGAATACAGATGATAACCCAAAAGTTTTCTCAAAGCTCGTCTGTGAGATCAACATTGACCTCTCAAACTCATCATAGTCTGCATAAGAAAGTGCAAATAATTTATATACTGAAAGCTCAACAACCATTTGTCTAAATCCAGTTTCAACGAGTGATTAGATACATACTCTCAATCTCCCGGAGGTTGAATATGGCAGCATCAAGCTCCTCGCGTTTTGCATCTCGGTAAGCCTCTGACAGATCTTTCGACGGCTTCTTAGAGGGGCAGCAACAAGAGCAGCAACCACACCATGAGCAGGAGGATGAGGAAGCAGCCTTGGGTAAGTTGGGCATAGAAGGAGGACCATAGCCGTAAAGTGCTTGCCTATTGAAACAACATCCTGTCCCCACATATACTGGACCTTGAATTCCATCCAGTCCTTTCATGTTAACCTGCAAATTGAGATTGAGAGATATTCAAAACTTTACTAATTCGTTTCAATTGTGCAGGAAATGTAAGGCTACCGTCAAAATGTCGAGATATGTACGATAGCTTCAAACTCACATCAAAGAAAACTGTGTTGCGGTTGGCATATCGATCACTGCGATCAATGCCATCAAACCTCTGAGGAAACTGCACATAGCATACTTCTCGACCAACTTGCGGGTCCATCAAGAAACACATTGCCTCACGAATTGCCTGGCTGTTGTTAACGTAGTGATCACAGTCAAGATTGAGGATGTATGGGGCATTTGTGAGAACTGCAGACACCCTTACCTGCACCAATCCAATCAATCAAGTTATGTATGTATATATACCAAATCATGAGGTAGCAATTTATCACTCTAAAACCATGTATTTATACCAGAGCATTTTCAGCACCAGCTTTCTTGTGATGTGGATAGCCAGGTCTCTTCTCTCTCGAGACATAAACCAATCGAGGAAGTTCATTTCCCTCAATGTCATAGGCGCCACTGTGTCCCAGGAAAACCTGAGAAGGGTAAACAAGGAGTTATATGTCAAAATTAATTATTTACAAAACGATGAAGACCGAAATCTCTTTGTAGAGGGACATAAGAAAGATCATGTATTGATAGTTGATCGAAAACAAAAGCAAAAGAAAGAAGAAACAGTGTTCACCAAGGTTATCATTATTGATTAAAATGAATCATAGGGTATCTATCTACCTGAATCATTCCGGGATGGTCACGTGGGTTATTTCCTGGCCAAGGTGTTCCAGTCTTGCATAGTCCATCCTTCTTCTGGTGTTTTTTGAGCCTTTGCAACTAAAGCATTCATTCGCACTTTGAATTCTTCATAATCTCTCTGTAAACAAATTATGAAGTGATTATTAATGAAAGCTTTCTGATATTTAGACAAACAACTAGCACATTTGCTTCCATTTAGCTTTGATATCAAATTATCATGAGTGATATTCAGTTGCAACTAGAAGAAGCTTCGGCCATTATGTACTTACTTTCATCGCTCTGCGCTCCTTCACAAAAGATGGTTGCACTTTATCCTTCAAGTAGTCAATCTTTTGTGAGAAGTAAAACTCAGGTGCTCGTGGTTCAATCGAAAAATTCTTGCAGAATGGTACCCACTTCCTTGCAAATTCAGATGTCTCGGCAAGAGATTCAAAAGTAAGCATGGCAGCACCATCATCAGACACATAGCAGGAAACTTTATCCACGGGGTAGTCTACAGCAAGGATAGAAAGAACAGTATTGGCAGTGATCAGGGGCGGTTCTTTCAACGGATCAACTGTACTCACGAAGAAATCCACTGCAGCAAGCTCAGAGGGTTCACCCTCTCTTTCAAACCTGGCATAGAAGTTTACACAACCATTTCATAAGTACATCCATTGCGAAAAATTAAGATTATATTTAGAATCCAATTCAGAAATTAGGGTCATTTGTTTCCTCCCCTTCACTGGTTAACAGTTTTTAACAACTCAGACTTTGTTCATACTTTCTTTTCATAATCTCCCAGTGAGCATGAAATTAAGATTCGAAACATCAATAACTAATTTTGGTAACCAGCTTAAAGCATAAGAAAAATCAATTGAAGATGCATACCTGGCAGATAACCTATCAGTAAATGTAATCCGATTAACTGGAGACCACTTAGGAAACTGATCCAACACCCATGAAAAAGCGAACCAGATCTCACATATGATGGAAGTGAACCATAGACCATAAGCGCTATCAACAGGATTTGTTACTCGATAATGGAAGAAAAGGGCGAGAATGATCAATCGCATAATTATTACAGTTCTGTATGGTGTGATTCTGTTAGGTGGAAGTGGAACGACAGTTGAAAGTGGTTCCGCAGCCTCTGAGGAACTGCATAGAAGGCCATAATTCAATTAACACACTAGTTTGCGTAAAAAGAAAGCGTCAAATGTTATGAAATGGATATGATCCAAAGTCCAAACACATCCAAACTCATACATGCATAATGTTCGCCCTCTTTCTTTTGAAAATTACACTGAAACTTCCCAAAATATTAACATGCTTTTAATCATTTCATTAACTGTGTTTATGAAGCACTGTTAGGATACTGATATGCATTTTTCTACTCTTTCGTGTCCAATATTTGGAATCGCAGGATAACTATAATGAACATACAACACCATCCCAACATGAAATAACAACATACGAGTAAAAGTCATCTCGTCTAAGCCAAAAACAATTTTTCCTTTCATGAACACCTGAACCTTTGCATGACATAGACAACAGCGTTATGGAAAAGACTCAAAAACATGGAGCCTAATCAGAAAACTAGCACCGCAAGGCCCTTATACGTTTGAAACTGCTTTATCATTTCTGTTTTAGAGTGTCCTCTACATAAACCCAAGTTTTAGTTGTACTTACTATTCCTCTGTCATCTGCTGCTCAGGTGGAATTTGAGCCTCCTTTTCCCCCTTAGGTGTATCCTTTTTCTTCTTGCTCTTTTTATCCTTCTTATCCTTCCAACTCTCCACTCTGTTCTTCCAAATTGGATTGCCATATTCATCGTTTAATTCTTCAAGGATAACGAAAAAAAATGCAAATTGGTAAAAATGAGACAAGGGGGCAAAAATCATGTAAGGAAAAGAAGTACGACTCACCACTATCCAGTGTAGACACACTGCTGATATGCCTAGCATGAATTCCGGTATCCTGCTGAAACAAGTATGTAGCAAACTGTAAGAAACTTCACTCATCTCATTTCACATAGAGTACCTATAAGTTACAGCATTGTAGATACACATTTTGTACCTGAGAACTATTCAGGTGAGCCTCCATTGTGGATCGAGTGCCAGACACCTTTGTTTCATAGTCCGCCAACGAGCTATCTGAAGAATTTAACAGCCAATATCATAGCTTAGGAATCATGAGAATCACAAATTTGATTATGTAACGAGCCGTATAAATGATAAATGTCACATTATCAATCAAGACAAAAAAAATGAGCCCTTTTTCAATCTCTCTCCGAAACTCAAAGGGACTCAATTTCAGAACGGTATTTCACCTATATGCACATTTGGTTTCATTACTCTCGTCGCATCATTTCCAAAGTCCAAAATCCAAATAGCACATAGAGGAACCGAACTTTGAATATGCAAACGCACACGATGAACTTGCCCAAATCAGCTTACGAGAAAGAGAAAGTTCGATCTTACTCCATCATCAAGTGCGTGCGTGGGAACTTAATCAGTATCCTAAAGATTTTGTTATAATGTGATCAACCAAACTATTTCTATAAATTTAAAATGTACATAATTTCCAATTTCATGTACAAATAAGTACAATTATCACAGAATGCTGCCAATATAACCAAATAACAAATGTAGACATACACCAAAGCATCTGAAAACACAGACATGGTTCAGAGAAATCCAAGAACAAGACATACCGTCATAGGGAATGCCACACTTTAAGCAGAGTTTACGCCCGGCCTTGACATCATCATCGAAACAAGCCTTGCAAACGGGGAAATTACACTCGTGGCACGCCACGAAAATCTCCCCATTAGCATCAAGCCCCACCTGCTCGCCGCAGGCATTGCACGGAGGAGCAACAGACTGCATCATTTTCGACAAAGTCGAAGCCTTTCCTCAATTTCCAGAGAAACCCAAAATTCCAATGATCCTTGGAAGAGGCTGTTTCACTCCACTTGCCAATCTGGGACTTGTTGCTGGTCTTATACAAAATGCCGAAATCACATTTTTGTAATGGTGAGAAGGAAGAGGTGGATGGAGTGTGGTAGTTGGAAGGGTGTGGAAGTTGGGGTGTTGGTGTCATTGTTTTTGCAGAGAGAGAGAGAGAGAGAGAGAGAGAGAGAGAGAGAGAGAGGGTGGTGGGAAGCTTAAGCTACGCATTGTTTTTCCTTTGTTTTTGCCAAAAGGAATGAGATTTGAAATTTTTGCGGGAAGTGTAAGGAAGGTTTCGGTTGGGCAAGTTACATCCTTGAACCCACCAAAAACCTCAGAACAAACGAGGTGGACTGGAGTTGTCTTTTACGTTTTCCTATACCTGGCAAAATAAAGGCCCTACAAGCATGCCTTATAAAACGGCTTTGGTAATTATGTTAAAGACTAATTAGGGCTTTTACTTACCCTACCTTTAGGAAATTAACCAGGAATCTTCGTATACTTTGTATTAATCACCAGCGTCCAAATTTGTGTTATTACAAACATTTTGACAGATAACACTTTACTGCAATGACGGAATACAATTATACATATGCACTCTGGTTTGGATTTGATTTTCATTGATCTCCCCTCCTAACAACTAACAATTAGCCTAACACCATTGTTTGTATAAATAAATAAATAAAATTGAATTTGGTCACACATTGAGGATTATGAAAGAGTTAGGAACATATCTCCACTTTGGAAGAGACGAGAAAACTACATTACCATAAGTCGGATAGAAACATGCAACTTCCTATTCGGTGACAATTTCACAATTAATACGTTACACAGTTGGTCTTCATCCTGCAGGTTTATTGGGTAAAGGTTCTCAATCTCAAGTACATCCTTCTCCTTTCTACTTGTGAGACGTATAAGAATTAGCCAAGTACTTCGAAAGGTGCGTGTTAAGAGAGGAACTTGTATAGAAGGCCATTTATCGTGACGTTCTGAATCACTAATACAATGTCACGTTTAAAACACCCTCTACTAAGCTCTGTACGTGACATTGACAATAAACCCGTTCCACAGAAGTCACTTGGTGACGCACAAGGTATTGAGTCAACATCGCTTCAACAATATTATCATATCATGGATTACAACGGTATGTGATATTGCATACCAACCAAAACTCCAAAAGGAAAACAACATAACATGTGATACCAGCAGTGACATGATAGAGTTACAGACTAGCATCTGATTTCCCAACTTACACATAGGAAACGTCTACAGGTCATCGAATACAGGGTGAGTCCCGAAGCAGAAGGTTGCCGGGTCAAGTGCAGCAAGCTGATTATGGCGATTAAGGATTTGCAGATCAAGGCACAATACGCAGAGAGTAAACAAGTTTTCAGATATCTGGGAACGAGTTTGCCAGTCATTGATTGCGCGGCTTTAATCTAGGCAACAGAATAAACCTTTACCACCTTTGTTGTATCACAAACAACTAGGTTTTCTGTATCAGCCGGAGTGGTACAGAGCCAGTTGACCTGCCAAGGCAATCAATTTCATGATGAGAAGATTCAGATAAAAATGAAAAGGAAAGAGGCGGTAAAGCAACGGTAACTCACTTTTTTGCTGTGGTTGATATTTAACTGTAGAAGATCGCTGCTGCTACCTTCATCAATACACTTGGTCCAATCCCAGACCTTTACCAACTTATCATTTCCACCTGAAATTATAAATCTTCCTCTATCTCCAAATAACGAAAATGCCCTGAATAACATGTACTAGTCAATGTGTGAATTAGGTTTCTTTGAACTGCATTTAAGTCTATTACTTACACGCAAGAGACAGCAGCAGTGTGACCGCCGGATGAGTAATCCAAATGCAACCTTTTCCTTCCTTCTTGATCTGGGTTTTCTAGATCAGTACCTTTCGATCTTGATTGAGATCCTTTCTGAGGTTTTTTAGAACCTTTTGACCTCAGGTGAGCAAGTTCAGCTTCTAGATTAATTACATCAACTGCACCATCACCCCTAGCCACAATGCAAACCTTGTCTGATTTGTCTAACATATCCATTTCTGGAACTGCTATTGAGTGAACAAAAGCAGGATTAAAACACTGTTCCTTGGCCTTGCCATTATTTGCATCAGGCAAATCTGCAGTGAAAAACAGCAAGCACGAATTGTATAAAAAATTAATCCAACCACTGACCCACAATGATTTTAAATTTATATGTTCTTCCAAAAAAAATCATCAAAATGATCATTTTAGTAGAAACAAAATAATGTGCATCAACATGTTGAGAGGAGGACACGTATGAAATAAAAATGAAGAAAAAAAAAAAATCATATTTTGAACCAGGCACTGGCCAGTGGCAAGGCAAGAGAAATGGTTAGGAAGGGTTCAAGTGCCTACGATTTCCTAAGTGCGTGATAGGCCTGGAACCAATTCCAATTTTGATTTACTCTCATAAGGGATACGGAAAGCAACAAATTACGGAAGAGAAAGTTGTAGATTACAAAAGATAGAAGTTTTACCAAAGTTCATAATTTTGTTCGGGCGCCCCTTGGAGAAATCCCACATTACAAGCTTTGAATCAAGACCTCCCGTGATAACTGTCCAAGATACCCCAAGATAGAAGTTGGTAGTCAATTTATGGTAAAGATATATTATTTTTTGTTTCTTTCCACTTTGTTGCAAACTTAGAGTATGCTTGGGTGCACCAAAGGACTTGAATGACTCTTCTCTCCAGTTTATAAATTGAAAAAAAAAAAATCCACGATGGAAGAAAGCAAGACCAAGAAGGAGAGAGAGCAAATGAAATCCTACAGACATACCTTCCCAAGGTTTCCAAGGAAGGAATTGCGCGGTGCTACAAATCTACAGTGTATAGTTAAGGTGATAGAATTGCAAGGGTAGGATAACAAAAACTTCAAAGGAACAGATCATGCTGGGTACTAAGCAGTTGAAATTTAACGCAAGAAAGAAGGAAAATGAAAAGATATGCAGCACAATATTTTGTTCAAAATCCAACGCTGAATCACATTCTTTGTAGAAGAAGCAAAAACGGAAGTGCTTGAATTATCTACAACAGAAAAAAGGATACACTTGTATGGCCATCTCTTAATGTTTTGTAAATTCGTTTCTGGCGAATGTCAATAATCTGCCACAATGATTACAGTCAGCCGCTTATGAGATAGACATTCAATTACATATGAACGGAAAAAATCAGTAGGGACCTTAATTTCACCGCCGTCATCGGGAGCAGCAAGAAAAGAGGACTTAGAGCTGCAAGCAATCTGCAATCACAAACATACATACAAATAAGCTCCAGAAACTGGGGCACCTGAACTCAAAGTAAGCAATCGAATTCGAAACAATGTCTACCTCAACTCCAATACCTGATTTATCTCTTCTTTGTTATAATCGAAGCTCTCCAGGGGCTTCCACGAGCATGAACTCCCCTTGAAAATGGAATGACAAACTCTAAACATTCAACAAGTAAAAACATCGAAAACACGAAAACATAGAGTGAGAGGGGAGGGTTGATGATTACCAGACGGACATCAAAGCTCTTGACTTGCTTCCCGGATGCAACATATATCATATTTTCATTTCCTGATTCAACCCACAAAAATAAATTTCCTAAATTTTCACTCTAAAAAACTCAAATACTCAAAACTTTGTTAAACATTTTACCTGGCCTGAAACATAAGGATGAAATGGGTTCCTCTCCCACCTCCATGATATCAATCGCATCTTTGCATCGCATATCGAACCAGCAAATGCAGCCATCCTACAAAGTTTCGATTTTTCCATTTCAATACCAAAAACCCAATTTCCCAATAACATGGAAACGCCACAGAATGTTGAGTTTTCAAATTTGAAATTTCCTCCATAACCATACCTCACCGGAGGAGGCGACGAGGCCGGGTGTAGCGGCTGAGGCGATGCAGCACGTGGCGGTGGCCTTGTGACCCTTCAGTCGCCTTGGTTTCGGGTCCGCCATCTCCTCCTTTACCTTTGTCACTCTTCGTTTTAGTTTGGTCTTTCGTTCGGCGTGCGCGGTGGTGTTGGCGGTGCTGCTGCTCTCTTGGGTTGGGTAAGGTTTGCCGCCATTTCAAGCCCAGCCCATTTTTCTGACACTTGGGCCCAGCCCAGTCCAAATTGCAATACCCAAGAAAAAAGTTAAAGTTAGAAAACTAGTCGAACTGATGAAACAAAAAATTAAAAACTGATCATTAACCCAATTTTAACATAATTAGTGTACTAATACTTCCAATCATGGCAACTGAAGACGTTTCATCCTTAAAGCCCTCTGTTTAACCAAAATTGCCCCTAACAGCGCAACAATTTTAGGCACAACACGTTATACGACTCGAAGTGAACATAAGACACAATTAACACAACTAGAACATGAACACAATGCATTGCCTCCTACCTGTAGAGTTTAAACTATGGTACGTTTCATCCTGAAGGCAACGCTAGTCAGCCGCCCACACATAATAAATTAACCGAAGAAAAAAAAAGAAATAATACAAGTTCAAATCACCTCACAAATTAAAAGATAAAAAAATATTTTGAAGTAGAAATTGCATTTCCTTGTGGGACAAAATCTTCTCCGGTGGAAAATATTCAATTGCAACAGCATTATGCATGTGATCCCTTTCTTTTTTCTAAGCACACGTGAACTCAAAAGGTATCTGCATAAAATCGACAAGATTTGTAGAATAGAAATTTCCCTGTGACTCTACTTTTGATTTTTAGTGACGGAGTTTCCCGAAAGTGCTTCTAAATAAGCCAAAGCTTTGCCATTTAACTTGTGTAACAGAGGAAGCTGACACCCAAAGCTGCTTGCTTGCTGAAAAAGCATCGTTTCACAAGAAAAGGGCGACCTATTTGTTGCATATATATATATGAAGGCTGGTTAGTGTTAGAATTCCTCTGTCTCACATCGATCAGCAGGTTTGAGAACCAACCCTTTAAATAGAATTACCCCACTCTAACTAACATGGAGACCTTTTGTATTAAAACCCCACACTTGACGGATTAAGCAGGTGGCCAAATAAAGACAATATTGATATTGTTGGAATGGGCTCATAACCCGTCTACCTGAAATTTAAGAGTTAGAACAGGTGTGAAACACCCAGGACCCCTCACTTGAACAGAAATTGAGATTTTATTGCATATTAAATAGAATCTTCGGGTAATAGTTCGATTATGGAACGAACATCTGTTTTAAGAACGATTAATTGATAGGACCAAATACATTGCTTAAATTTTCCACGCATGTTAGAATGTGATTAACAAGAATCTAGGGCTGTTTTCAAGGAAAGGAGCAACCAACCATGTTCCTTGTCAATATGTTATCGATATTGTAATGATGTCCTTGCTACTAAATTAAAGCTTGCTGACATGTTATCGATAGTGTCCTGACAGGCTGACACAAAACTAATTTGTTTAATCAAAGAATGACAGATGATGCTAGAAGAAGAAGAAGGAAGAAGAAGCAACAATTTTAATTCGTAATTAAATTGGAATCAAATTAGTACAACCTTAATCACATATCAGAACCATTACATTGTCAAAGGAATGCCCAAATCAAACACCTTAATCAGTCACATACGAAATTATGTTGAAGTCTGCAATTAGCAATTAGAGAGTCTAAAAACGAAACGGTTATCAAACAGGCGTGCTAAAATTTATCTGACAGTGGAAGCAACAGCACAAGCCCATGACTTCAGGTGCTCTTTCATTGCCATATTATCACTGATTGAAGGCATCCCATAATTTGCATTCTGATATTCTCCAAACCTCTGATTGTTAAACCCACAATTCCCCTCAGTCGTCCGATTAAATGACCAAGAATTCCCACTACCCACTTCCTCCGCACGATCATCAAGACCCAATGTATCTAGCTCTCCAAGAATCTTCCTCTTTCTCTGCAGACCCCTCTTCCTCCTCCTCCTCCTCCTCTTTGCCTTCTCCGTTGACCTTTGACTTGCGGAATCATAATATTCCACCACCAATTCCATGGAATCTGGCTCCACAATTTCTGGTTCGTCGCATTTGGGGCACACTGGAGTTGAAATTTCAGCCCTTGGCGGCGACTCCGTTCGCCGATTTTGAGCAACGGGCGACATGGGTTTGGACGAGAAGACGTTGCCGAAGAACCAGAGCGAGTCAAAGCTCTCCGCGACTCGCGAATCGTCCATGTGGAACGACGCCGGCCCGAGTCACAGAATCACAAAGGAAGGAGCAGAGAGACCGCAGAGCTTTGTAGTTGGGCGACACTAGCACTTTCTACTTGGACTGACCTCAAATATTCTCATTCTATGTTCTGGATTGACCAAACTGACCTTACCCACCTGAGGGATTCTGTGAGGAATCTGTGAGGGTATTTACGTCATTTGAGCACAAACAGTGGGCGGCAGGTTTACGTTGTTCGAGTGCGGTGGGCTGAAAAATTAACCAACGGTCGAAAATAACGTGGGAAACGATATGACTGCATTAATAATTGTTTTTTTTTAAACGATGTATTATTGGCACTTCAAAAATCTCATTTTACACTCCTTATAAGTATATTTTTCTTTCCTAATATATAAAGTTTGGAGTGTAGAATAAGATTTTTGGATTACTAATAACAATTTCATTTTTGAAACGGCTAAGTCTGATTTCGATTTCTCTCTCCTCTATCACAGTTACTTATCTCTTGTTGAAAAATATTATTATTTAGATTTATTTTAATGTTTGGTATTTTGGGCTCAATCCGTTAGTATTAGGGTTTTGTTTCCTTGCCTATTAGGGTTAGGTTAGTTTTCTATATATATGGTACTTTGTAACTTTATAGTATAACAAGTCATTCACAATGTAGTCTCTTGGGATTCGGTAGCCATTTCGGCATTTCGATTGTTTAATAATATTCTATTTTTGTAATCTTATTCGTCACACACTCTGATATTCAACTCTAACCTTTATTCTCCAAAAATCATGGATCTCAAAGCATCACGGCCACCAATCAACTTGGGGCCGACGACGGCCCTTCCTCCCGTCTCTCCTTCCCATGTTTGCCACCACGTCGCCCTTCTCCCTCCTTTTGCCCTGCACATTACCTTTGTTTTCCTCTCCCCTTTCTGTTCCTTTGCCCACGCCTCAGACGCCCTCCTTAGTGCTACCTAGCATTCCCTCCCCCTCATCTCATCCTCTCTCCCACTTTTTTGCATACAACCCTCCAAAGCTTTTTGGAGTCTTCTTTCCAAATCTAGTGTACCTTTGACTTTGACCTTGATTTGTGGTTGTGGGTAAGATTAGTGGTTCTGGTTGGTCGGATCCACCTCCTGCGACTCGATTTTCATAGTGGTTGTGCGCTTCTCGGCCAACCCTCGGCTAAGCCGCCATACAGATCTTTGTTGTCCTTTTGATGGAGGTGACAAATCTTTCTAGAAGAGGTGTGGCCCTCGGTATGAAGATGAACTGATTGCTGATTTCATTCATTTGAATATCGAGTTTAAGAATGGGATAAATGAACAAACTTTGAAATAAAAGGCAAATAACTAAGACAAGTAACACCAAGAATTTATATGGTTCGGTTATGCTTTTACATTCACGGGGTAGCAACAACAATATTTCACTATATAAAGAAGGAATACAACAAATAATTTTGACAAGCCTCTAGGATTAAGACTTGACAAAAAACTTGAAAAAACAAGGCCAAGAATATACAAACTCCTATCTATTTTCTTTTCTCTTGCACACACTTTGTCATCACAATTTTCTCTCACTTTAACTCATTGAGTAGTATAAAACTTATCATTTTGCTCCAATTCAAAACTAGTGCAATAGTCCGTTTATATATACATAATAAAAATCTTCTTTAATAAGGATTACTAATCCTCATTGGAATCTAGTTATTAATCCTTCTCCAATTGAGAAACCAACTCCAATTTAGAAACCCACTCCAATTGGGAAACAACTTCAATTGGGAAAACACTTTAATCTTCTAGTAATATGATTCCTCATAGACTTAGGAGAACTCATCATGGATTGGAAAAACCCAACACCATTCTCGAATTAGCTAATTTATTGTTTTGTGGTTGCTTAGGCAATTTTTTAGCCTTCTTGTTTTAGCAATGGTTGATGTAGCCTCACTTGTTTCAATGATGGTTTTGTGTGGACATTCAATGCCAATCCGTCGTGTCTATTGTCTTTGTGTCGAATTTGCATTATTTGTGATTCGTGTTTGTGGTAGTTGTTAGTGGTAGCCATGTAGGGATTTATATGATGTGTTAGTTGTGCAAATTTCTCTATGATCAAAGATTTGATCATTGGAAAATATGTAACCATTATGAAACTGAACTTCAGAAAACGATGTACTCACAATCGATACAAGCACTCTGAAATTACAAGTCTTAAAATTTAATCAAGCATTGACATGTAAAAAGTAGAAAAGAAAAATTCCATTATTTATCAAACATATGAGAGCGAGACAAGCAAGGCTAAACTCCTAAAGAAAATTTTAATTTCCCATCCCTAGAAAAAAACTACATAAATTTATTTTACATGAATTTATTTTCGTATACCAAACATAGCCTTAGGTTAATTAAAAGCTTAACACTATGTTTGGATGAAAAAAATAAATTTGAAATTTTAATAAGTGTTTTTATCACAAATAGTCCTTGAGATTGATTAAACTCATCATTTTGGTCCCTCACTTTCAAAATCAATCAATGTCGTCCTTGACATTCACTACCTCATATCAATTTGGTCATTCTATTAAGATTTTGTCAACTATCCTGTTAGTTTGCATGTGGGACCCATAAATCCAATGAAATGGTTACATGTGGATTACACAAAATAAGGGGTTTTATTGCAAATGGTCCGTGACATTGATCTAACTTCTCATTTTGGTCCCTGAGTTTAAAAAACCAATAAATTTGGTCTCTGACTTTCACTACCACATATTAATTTAGTCATTTCGTTATCATCAATATTTTTTCGTTTGTATGCTGATGTGGTCTCACTAATCCAATCATATGGCTCCACATGAATTAACTATAAGAAACAATT